CCTCAGTCATGTCATACAGGTCTTTTCTCAACAATGTGGAATGGCCTGGGAGTTGGGGACAGACCAGGACAAGTGTGGAGGCCTGGTGGGCAGGGACTCTCCTGAGGTGGGAGCCAGTGCTCCTGCAGACCCTCTGAGAGCCAGGTTGAGCAGGGGGCCGGGAACCCTGCAGGCCCTCTGCTTGCAGCTGTCTCTGGCCACACCCAGAAGCACGCAGTGTCCTCTGGTTTGTCTGTCAGCTGTGGGGCAGTGGGCACTTTCTGCATAGTCTGTGCATGTGTGTTTGCACAGAGACATGTGTGCGTGTGTGCCCCCCTCACCCTGTGAAGATGAAACTCATAACCCAGCCCCCTTGCCCTCTCCTCTAATGTTGAACAGGGAGATCCTGCCATTTCCTTGCTTTGCCTGCAGAACCGAGAAGACAAGATGGGAAGTGCCACAGATTCCCAGAGTGCGACTTTGTAAAATATCTATACTGTGGAGGTGGCCCTTGACAGACAGCTATGCATCCACCACAGTGGTTCAATACCAATATGCTGGAAGACTGAATTATGTTGGTTAGGAAACAGATATTGACTTAAGTAATCTTGAGCTCAGTTGACAGAGTCCTGTTATTATGGATTAATGTTCACGGTCCTCCCCTGTCACACATTCTTTTTAAAGAAATCTGTTGCAATTTTCATTCACAATCGTGGAGAAGTCCTCTTTCACAAAGTCTGAATCAGAGACATCTAACGTGATGGAGTCAGTAATGATTTGTAAGTGAATAAACAAGTTTATATTTACCACTGATGCAGCGATATTGTGGCTTGCCCATTCAGGTGCTCTCTCTTTTTTCTATTAGTTGTTTTTGGAAGAGCAAAAGAGCTTGGGAGGCTGAGGCAGGGAGATGGCAGGTTCAAAGCAACTTAGTGAGGCTGTAAGCAACCTAGTGAGACCGCGACTCAAAATTTTAAAAAATGAAATAAAAAGGGCTGGGGTGAGGAAAACTGCCAGAGCCTCACCAGGCCAGGGCAAAGCCAGACACAGGGCAAAGCAGGTACCCAGGTCCTAGGCCAATGATTCTTAACAGAGGCTGAAATATGGTGCCATTTTTCATGTCCCTAGATATATTTCTTTTCTTTTACCTAACATGCTTGAAATTTAAAAAGCTTTTAGGAAGACTAGCAGAATACTATTTTAAAATTGGAAAACAATGGCTTTACTGTTCTTACGTTTAATAATGAGAGGAAGGCACGTTTTTGACTTCAAGGAAAAGTTGGATTCTATTAGGCGACTCCTATCTGGTGACCGTTCAACGCTGGCCCATCATGGAATTTTTTTTCCATTTTGTCCCTGAGTGGAAAGAGCTTCCAGAATAAAAATGACACTGAATCCCAGGAAAAATTTACCCCAAATCACATAGTTCTCATCTTTTTTATAATTTTTTTTGAGAGAGAGAGAATTTTTTTAATATTTATTTTTTAGTTTTCGGTGGACACAACATCTTAATTTTTATGTGGTGCTAAGGATCGATCCCAGCGCCCCGCACATGGCAGGCGAGCGCGTTACCGTTTGAGCCACATCCCCAGCCCTAGTTCTCATCTTATTAGCACTTTTTAAACAACCTGAGTTTTTGCTATTGATGCTATTGATATGTCTATGAATAGTAATGGCAGGAAATACGGGCAGAATATTTTATTTTAAATAAGAATGACTAGTTTCCATTATTCAAATTTTAGAAAGCAAAAATTAGATGCTGTGTTCACCACTATATTGTGATGTGTGGTACATGGTCCCCAAGTCCTCCCACTTTTCCTCCCAGACCTTATGATGGCCCAGCATCACCTGCTCAAAAGGACTTCCTGGCGCTTGGGGCACTGTGAGGTCAGCTGCCTGTCGCAATCTCTCTCTAAAGAAAGGTCATCCAAAACCTCCTCGGACTCTGCCCAGACACCGTTCAGTGTTTCTGATATACAGAAAACTGCAACTGTGTCAGCCTTCATTGTTCTTCATCAGAATGAGCTCTGGAGCTCTCGTTCAGATTTCTAATTATATTGTCTAATAAAACTAAGCAGTCAATGCCATTTGCATATTATATGAAGAAGTGTCAGACAACAAACTCATAGCAGTCAATTAACATAAAGGCTAATTATATATCTCATCAGCTTACAAGAGTTTCTGAATTCATGCTTCTGTTGTAGCCTAAAGCAAGGGCTTGGAATTTTCATTTCTAAATATTGACTTTTAACTAATATCAGGAATGATTCCATTTTTTATGGATGAAAAGTTAGTGATTAAACTAGATGCGATATTTGCTATAATGCAATTAAAATTTCTACATTAACTAACCCTGTAGAAAGGAAATCTTTGCAACAATGTGAAATTAATTATCAGTGCCTAAACAGGTTAAGTGCTGGTTTCGTATCTGAAGGCAACTCCAAAAGAATGATCAAGATGAGTGAAATTTGTTGGTGACTGTCAGACTGTAATGGCAGAGAGACACCCCACACAACGATTTTCAGGTCTAATTGTGCACTGTGACATAATTGTATTCCTCCCTGATTGTGATAGCTATCAAGCAAGAAATTTACTACAAGATTAACAGGGACACAGTAATGAAAAAACACGGGCAGCATCCTGTAATTGACTGTTATTAAAGTGTGTCACAGTGGCCGGTAATAAACTCCCTAGCTGCAGTGTTCTAGAGAAACCAAAGCCAGAACTTTTGTCGACTTTTTCGGTTGTAAAGTTGGGATAAGGAGATTCCCCAGCCCCCAATCCAGTGCTCACTTACTGAGCACACGGTCAATGGAAGCCTAAATGGGGGCGGGGGTGGGTGGGGGACAGACACTGCATGTACAACATATGATTTAAGTTGTAGGTGGCTTTCCAAAGTGAGAGAAGTTAGGATTTACTTTGGGGTACTCCAAGATAGCGATGAAATTATCACGGATCATTTTTTAATTTCTGACTTGTACCAAATGAGCCCACGTGCAAAAGAAATGGCAGATAAGAAAACTGCGCCAGTGAATCCTCTTCTGCCACTTCGGTAGCGATGGCGGCCTTTTCATTCATATTTTAATGAGGCTAGTATCTCCGAGGCGTCCGGGGAGGGCGGAGGCAAGGTTCCCGGAGGTTACAATAGGAGTCGCTTTATTGACAAGTACCATTCAAAATCTTCGCAGCACAGAGAGAAAGACTCAGTCTCACCCTCTTGTCCCTGTCCTTCCTGTGCTCTCAGAATCCAAAGGATCCAAGGGGAAAGAGGCTCACTCTAAGGACACTCTTTAAATTTACTGAAGGAGGTTCTGCTAAGTAGAATCATTGAAAACTCTATTCATGTACATTTAAATACTTGTATAAAGAGCCACAATGATGAGCATTTTTTTCTTAAATATTTTCTGAGGAAAAAAGCTGATGCTTTGGTATTTTAAGAGCGAAATATTTTTAATATTCAGTAAAACGACCTCTGCTAGTGTCAGGTTGGATGTGCTCCCTTTCCTGCTTACAGGACTCGGTTACATGGAGTCTTTTGAGCTAGCTGCCAGCAACCATTTCCTGCTTTTAGAGGATCTGTACTTGGCAGGGCCATCAGCCTCCCTGGACTTGGAGCATTATAGAAATCCACTATGATCCCTGGCCATCACATACGTGTGCTGAAATAGGCACAATGTTGCTTGACTCCAGTATATAAAATTATACTTTAAAAAAAAAAGGAAAAACAACCCACTGCGAAGTGGAAAGATTATTTTCAAAAAGTGCAACCCAGGACACAAAAGGGCTCTCAAAGACCAGTGGTGGCAGGCCTCTCACACACCAACATCGTGGTTTTGCCCAAAATGTATGGGCTCAATAATTTTTGCGCAGCTCAGAGTGTTAGGTTAGTTTAAAAATCAGGTTCTAGAGTGACCTGTACTCCACAGGCCAGGCCGGGTGTGTGAGGGGCCTGTTGGCACCCCGGGGTTAGGGGCTGGGCTTCTCACAGGCTCCAGCCCCCAGACCGGTCCCCATCCCCCCAACCATCAAGTCTGTTTGCTTTCCCGTTGGGCGAAGAGGGGGAAGTGGGAGGGAGAGAGAATGGATTTCTTGATTACAGTTAGATTTTTTTTTTTTAAATCAAAGAGTCCACTCTTCACTTTCAAGTAAAATGCTGCTTCTTACACCCAGGAAGTATGAATATATTGGTATGCGTCAGATAAGGAAGGATACTCGGAACACGTGCGCTGCAGGAAAACCCGCCCACGATCATTCTGACTTGGTGTGATTTAAGAATTCACCTCTGCATTGTGTAACTTTCCCAGTGAACGATACATGTTTACTCCTTGGTTTCCGTCAGTCATAAAGCAGATTTAGATAGGTCTGTGGGCCTACGTATATCTTGTTACAACTTGCAAAGTTCGAAGGGCATGGTAAAGGCGTGAGTAAAGCACCGGCATGCACCAGTTTTTGACAGCAGAGGTGTTTAACAATTAAGGCAGTTAGGAGTTAAAAACTTGGTATTTGAGCGAGAACCAGGGGCTGCGGCGTGTCCTAGCACAACCAACTCTTGGACTGCAAACGAGGACGCACGGGCCTGCGAGCAGCTCGCGCTGCCTCCCGCCGCCGGGGACGTTACCTGTGCACGCGAGGTGCAGCTGGTGGGTGGTGGCGGTTTCCTCTTAGGCTCTCCTCTTCCCGTGTTCCTTTCAGAATGTTTGTACAGGGCTGATTCCTTATTGAAACGGGGGCCGACGGTGGCGACACCGGGGTGGTTTATAATCGCCCGGGTCTGCGCCACACAAACCCCCGCGCCCTGCGCTTTCATGTTAATTCCGCCGCTCTGGCTGATGAGATTTGCGGCCAGATGGCGGTGAAGCGCGGAGACCCTTTGTGCGCCCCGAGCGCGCCTGTGAATGTCGCGCGGTCGCTGGCACCGGAAGGGTTCACACTGCGTGTGAAAGGGGACAAAGGAGCCTGGATATATCAACACTGCAGAGACCGAGTTCATTTGTGATGCAGTCCCTTTCACCGCGGTTGTCATGCAAACTTCCTACTTTGATCAGCGGAGGGTGGAGAGGGAGAAAGCCCGCAAAGCCGCGGGCCGGGCGCGGGCCGGGCGCCCTTGGCGGCTCCACGCCCCCTTCCGGAAGGAGCCGCGGGGACGCAGCCTCCTGCACCTTGACCTGTCTAGACGGCCCGAAGGGTTTTGTCTCGGTTACCAAGGGCGCGGGGTGCTCTTTGACCCACGCCCAGGGCGGAGGTGGCGGCCAGAGGGCCCCGGGACCCTCGCCGCACCCCGGAGGGAGAGGGGCGCCAGCGTTCCCAGCCCGCGCACCCCGCGCACCCCGAGCACCCCGCGGGCTGCAGCCGAGCGCGCTGACGCGGAGCGCGAAACTTCTGGTTTCCCCTGCGAGCGGGTGCAGAGTTCCCGGGCAGGAGCGCGTGTCTCTCTCTCTCTCTCTCTCTCTCTCTCTCTCTCTCTCTCTCTCTCTCTCTCCCTCTCTCCCTCTCTCCCTCTCTCCCTCCCTCCCCCGCCCCACTCCCTGTCTAGATAGATAGATAAACAACTGTCTTCTGTGCTTCAAGCTTTTTTTCTGCATGTTCAATGACTTTTTTTTTTTAGGAATTATATGCGTAGGTATAGTTTCCAGATCTTTTTTTTCTGTCCTCTTTTGAATATACTTTTCCCTACTAAAATTTAAGCTGACCTTAAATTATGTAAATAACGGAGCTGAGACGCTGTGTTCAGACGTGGACGCTTTGCAGCAGCGGGGTCATGCATTCCCGCGCGCCCGCTGGACCATCTTCACTTGGGTCAGCGTGAAGGCGAGTGACCTGCACGCCGTGCTTCTCTTCACAGGTCCCCCTGGCCCAGTCCGAGGCATTCCTGACGGACCTTCTGGATAAAGTGTGTGAGCGAATGAACGATTACCAGCTAGAGGAAGACCCGGTAACTAAAAAGAAAACTTTCAAGAGATACGCGCCAAGGAAAGGAGAAAAAATATACAAAGAATATAAAAAGTTCTATTTTTATTCTGATGCCTACAGACCTTTGAAATTTGCGGTAAGCTCTCTTTTTTTAAGAAGAATTATTTAATGCGTGAGCCTGTTTTTGGTACTTTTTTTTTTTTTGTCCTTCCCACTCTTTAGCTGTGGCTGAGTTTCAAGACACTGAACAGCAAGGTACACATTGAAACGTCACCCTGCCACACTTGGTGTCCTGCTCTGAGAAGTGTTAAGTGTGCACTCCCCAACTTGCCTTTCACGGGAGGGCTTGTGGTCTCTGGCAGTCAGTGGACAGACTGAGTGATATCTTACATCAGCTGCTGTCCCCCAACCCCTGTGACTGTAAGACAGTTTGCAGTGTTTGCCTAGGACCACTCTGCTGTGTAGGGGGACCTTAGCCTGCCCTGTTGGAAGCGGGGGTCTCACAGATGAGCACATAAGGCGTCGGGAGCTGTGGGTTCTAGGTTAAAATCCAAATGAAAACAAATATTGTTTTCAAATATGTTATAGCCACGTGATAAAGGAGAGTGATGTAATCATCCCCCACTCAAGGCTTCAACGAAGAGTTATTTTCCTGAGGTAGCACAAGTATTCCAGCACAAACTGAGTTAAATAAAAGCTTAGGTATGATATTTGGCATAATGCCAAATTTCCTTCCAGTATAATATTTATTTTACATAAATGCTGGCCTGTCTTGCAAGAATGTGCCTGGCAAAATATTATGGCAGTATATTTCCCTTTACTTAATACGGTTGAATCCCACAGTGATGGGCAAGCCTGCTTTAAAAAATGTATTAAGTTTACGCATTGGCCAAAATGTCAGGCTCGCCGAAACCCTGAAGTGAGGGAAGTAGCTGACATTTGAAGATTTCATTTTAATTAAAAGATGAGGACAATAATTCAGAGTTAAACATATTGTGGAATAGGAATGGCAGTGTTACTGGGGGTATTTCACAGGTTCTTAATAAACACATTATGGTGAAATTTAAATATTTTAACTGCTGTTTAAAAATTTTAGAAACTTGTTTAGTGAACTCAGAAAATGATTTCCAAGACTACTGAATGCCCTTCAGTAATGTCACCATTCCTAAAATTGTCACCTGGTCATTCTTTAATGAAGGAACATACCTCAGTAGAAATTTAAGATTTTCAGTTGCAGAGGCAAATTTGAGCTCCTTCTTCTCTGAAATGTCATTTTTTTTCTCTCTCTCTCTCTCTCTTTCTCTCTCTCCCTTCTTTCATTTCTTTCTGGAACCCTAAATGAGATTTCAGGTGGATCTATAAATGCTCTGAAAAGACCCTCTCCTCAGTAAAGCCAGCAGGTTCTCCAAAGTGAAACTGAAGAAGTGTTTGTTCTGATGGCTGAGAAGCCGTCATAGTTTCTACACTTTCAAACCACAAAATGGATTATCATGTTGAATTGGAAGGAAACTGGTTTCACCATTTCAAGGAGTTGTGTTCTTTAAAATGTGTTTAAAAATAGAGTTCCCAGATCTCAGCGCCTTAGCTAGGAAGCCCACCTCTTCCTGTGCCTGGCCTTCTGACTTTAGGAAGAGAAATAAATAGGAAGAAGTTGTTTCCTTCTTCAAGTCCCATGTCTTTCAGCTCCACTAATCATTTAGTTAAGTCCCAGGAAAATGATGCCATTAATGTTCTGGGAAGAGGGTTAATCCAACGCAATGATGTATTAAACCCAAGGACCAAGAGAAGGGGCCCACCTTGGCCACAGCTTTCCTGTGTGTCGCTAATACTGTGGAGCTAAGCCCTTCCTGGGCAGCAGCCCCGCCAGTGTGTGTACACATGTGCTATTATTATGTTTCTGCAGTGCGAAACCATAATAGAAGAGTACGAAGATGAAATACTCTCACTTATCGCCCAGGAGGCACACTCTCTAGCTGACAAGCTGTGCAGTGAGGAATCAGGTACTGTGTCTGATGGAACATGTGTGCGCAGCCGCTCACCCCGCTCGACAAACGTCTTGTTTGTCGACTGAGCCTTGCTGCCTCCCTGTGAGCCGGGCTCTGACATGGGCTTCTGGGGTCTCCGCTGCATCAGACACCCGGGAGGGAAACATGTCCCTGGAAACCACGGGGCTGTGCCGCTTTCCTCGTCCTCCCTCCCCTGCGTTCAAAGGAAGGCAAACCCTTTCCCAGTGGTCACCACGAAGCCCATTCAGACTTAGATGTCTGGCTTCAAAGCATTTGGTTAAAAAAAATTAAAAATTGGATTTTCCATCCTGTCTCTGGAAAGGAGAATCTCTTTGTGACTGAAGTATTTGCTTCAGCAGAAGTTGGGATTCCTTATTTTGTAGGAAAAATTTTAAAGTTTTTGTTTGTTTGTTGGGGAGGGGCTGGATTCTTTTTTTCCAGATTCCTTTTCCAGAGTTATCTTCATCTTAAAAGTGTTTTTCTGGATCAGAGGGTGGCAAATAATAAGCCTCGTCTTCTTAGACATCACCCCAACACTCTCCTCCAGTCAGAAGCTGGAGGAGAGGGAGCAGATGGCCATTTGCTGTGTACCAAGGCGAAGCCTGTTGCCCCTGGCCCTGTCGTAGGTGGCTGGCCACTCACCCGGTCAGATCACTTTGACATTCGTCTAACATGGTTCAGGGATGTGGTTCAAGTTGTGCATTCTTTTCAGATATCTTTGGGAAGGAAATGAACGGACATATAGGAAGACAGCAATTTAAAACCAGTGGAGTGCTTTCTAAGATGTGGGAGTGTGAGACGTTTAGCATTTAGCCACGTTTACAGGAAAGCCTGACATACACGTGTCCATTCTATCAAGTTTAGGGCCAGCTCTTAAAATGATAGTTACTGCACATTTGGAGATAAATATTGCTGTTGTCAAAAGTTACTAGGCAAGGTCACAAATCCCCTACTAACAACATGAAACTTTCCTTACTAAGTAGACAATTGGGTTGTCTTCTGTTTAAAAGTCCAGTTTCAGTACAAGTTTGCAGATGAATGCAGTGAAATGACATGGTGATTCTTCAGCAGTCTGAGTTTCCTCATTGACATTAGACATTTAATGTGCGGTGTAGGAACTTCACATAAGTCCATAGCCTGCCTTCCCAGAGAAAGTTTCTTTCAAGATTCTCAGACAATCCAGCCACACAGATTTGCACTAAGATGCCAGCACAGATGGGGTGAGGAGTGCTCAAAATTCTTGTTTTCCTGTTGCCCCTCTGAAGGGTCTGGACTTATCAGAATTGTCTGTAACAAACGCAAGTAATCCCCCCCCCCATGAAGTCCTACTCAGACCTTCCAGGGAGTCTGGAGAGTGTCACCCTCTGTCTACTGCAGTTGTCTCCCCCAAGTCCATATTCTGGGGAAAACAGTGGTCCCAAGTGCAGCAGCTGGACTTGGTTTCAATAACATTAACAACCTCTCTTTGTTCCTTCTACATAATTTAAATTGGAAATCAAAGTTAATATCAACCTTGAAAAAAGCAGAAGGTTATGGAATAAACCTAAGCTACACACAGTATTGCTGGTGTGAGATAAAACACCAGATAATTCTTAATTTGCACTTGTTTTTTATAAAGCCACTTCCTCCTACAAGCGGGAGTATTGAGAGGAAGAGGTGCCACTCAGCAGTGGGAGCCTCACGGCACTGCTGATGAGGCGGAGAGGGTCCTCTCAGGCCATGTCCCCGTGAAGCGCTCTGTCAGTGTCGAAAACCATCCCTAAGTTAAAAATGGAGGATGTCCTCACCTTAAAAACAGACTAGAAACCTACTGCCGATGTCAATACCACAAGTGCAAGGTGGAGAGTGTTTTCAGACGTGAACCTTCTCACAGGAAAAATTAAAGGCACACCCCAATGATACGAATTCCAAGGGAGGACGCGGTGGCAGTAGAGAAGTGAGTCCTGTCAACTCACTGGGGTGGTTTCCTTGACTGTGTGAAGGGTGAGGCTTCCCATCACAGAACTCCAGGTGCACTGGCCCCCCACCTGCAGTACAGGTGCAGTGAGTCTCCCCCCGAGCAGGCTGTACCTGCTATTTGGGAAAGGGCTTCCTCTGCCACAGCTTCACCATGCCTTGCTCTCCGTGGCTGGAATGGCATTTTAAAGAGGTGAATGTGTGTGTTGGAAGTCATAGAAACTGCATTAACAAATAACTCTTTACTGAGCGTGTACTACATGCCAGACACTATACCAAGAGTGGGTAAAATGCTCACTTGCTGTTTTTAGGGAGATCAGTAATTATTAGAAAATAGATGCTTCTAAAACTCAAGAGTGGATGGAAGTTTACTGTCTGTATTTAATAGGCACTTTGCATATATGTGAATTTTGCCTTTTTCAATTTACCGTAGATTGTTTAACTTCTCTTGTTAAGAGTTATACGTGAGCAAATGGGGCCACATCCACAGATTCTCCAAATGTTAAGGTCTGAACATTCACCACCCCCCAACACAAAAATAAATGGGGAATAATGGAGAAAACAGGTGTCTAAGATGGCCACGTTTGAATGAAGAAACAGCAAACAGGGAGATTTCATAAACGTGTGTCAGCTTTGATGATAAGACGAGTCTCAGAGAAGGCTGCAGATTGCATGGCCCATGCATGCCCCTGCAGTTAGGACTGGGTAGAACGTGGGTTGCCCTTGGGGTGAGAGTAACAGGGGTTCTTCCTCACAGTCTCTCTTTTTTCTAGGCAAAATTAAAAGTAAGTTCATTAGATTTTCTGGGTGGAATGTTCTGTGGCATTTAACCCAGGCTTCACCAGATGGTCATTTTGATGTCTTGAAGTGGAAATGATTCAAATCTTAAAAAGATCTAGGGTGCAATTTAAAGTACAACTGCATCCACTGGAGGTGGAAAGCAGACTGCTACAGAGCCCGTGTGGCTGGTTCCTCTTAGGTCTGTGCAGGTATTTGTCAGACAGACTGTGTGGAGAGTTGAAAGAGAAATGCATAAATATATTCTGAATATATTACTTTTACTTTGAGAGCAAATCTTAAACACTGAAAAATATAACAACTGTAGAATTCGCCACATGCCCATCTTTAATGTAATATATGAAATAAGATATCAAGAATGTAGAACTGTTTAGCTTACAATTAACTTAAAAGTATTCTCACTTTGTTGTCTAGTCTTCCTAACCTAAATGGCAAGACCTTAAAATATAAAATATAAAATAATTACCTTTAAAGGCTAGCACATTTCCAACAAACTCTGTGGCTAACAGAATCCACAGTCTTTCTTTTTTCAAAAAAAATTTTTATTTGCTCTTTTTAGTTATACATGACAATAGAATGTATTTTGACATATCACACATACATAGAATATAACTTCCCATTCTTGTGGTTGTATACATGATGTGGAGTTACACTGGTCGTGTATTCACATATGAACATAGAATCCATAGCCTTTCTAAATGGAATCGGCATTAATCACTTTCAATTGTAAAAGCAGTAGGAATCACAATACCTAACTGGCTCTCACATTACATGCCCAGGGCACTGCGGCCCTTCCCAGCTGTGGACACTGTCTAAATGGTCTTCTTTAAACACTCCCTTGCTCCTGGGTGAGTTGCACAATACCTGGCCTTGCTTTAGAGTACTCCAGCCAAGACAGATGGGAAGACGAGCGGAGCACAGCACCGATCGGCCGCTGTGGAAGCCGGGCTTGGGGTGTGGGGAATAGATTATGCTCTACTTTTGTGCACAGAGACAAAATTAAAAGTAACTTCACTAGATTTTTTTCTGGGTGGAATGTTCTGTGGCATTCCCACAATAAAAGTTCAAAAATGCACTCCCGCCATCATGTAGTGTTTGTGGGATGTAAATGACTAAATTGCTGGTATCTAATTGATAGTGATGGTTTCTAATTATTTTTTCAGGTATTTGTGGAACTTCTGCTAATCATACAGAACTCTAGGCATGACATAACCACTGGTAGAGAAGAGCAGAGTCCCAGTAAAAGGTCAATGTCTGCGTTCGTGTCTGCATGTCTCTCGTGCTGAGAAGTTTCGTCTTGTTCGTACCATGCTTGATTTTGCTTTGAAAATCTGTTGTTTGGCATCATGACAAACCCAAGTCTTCTTGTAGGTGAAGCTGAGGACTTCAGAAAACCTCAATTCCTTGCAGATCTGCATGCAACAACCTTAGCAATAAAGCATTAGATCTGGCTATGGGAAAGAACTGAGGCCACTTCATAAACTAAAAAGGGATTCAATGATCTCTACTGTGATTTCTAGTAAATGCATGCACACATAGACAGGCACAGTATGCTATTTGGTAAGAACTTGGTTTCTCAAATACTTGATTGGCAACAAATTTAGGGAAACCTATTGCAAACTTACTTAAAATTTGATATTCTGGAGGGTTCTATATGGTGTTCAAAGGAACAAACCCACTTTTATCATGAATGAAATTTTAATGTCTAGAAATACATTTTAAAACATTGGCTCTAAAATTTAATGGAAGGCAAAAAATGTATACTTTTTATAGTGAACGGTTATTACATTGGTCTCTCTTGACCATGTATTCTGAGTCCAAATGGCTTGAAAAGTGCACATATGATGACATCGTGTATTTAAAGATGGTGCAGTGACCATGCCTCGTGCTGTGGACTCTCCCAGGCTGCATTCCTCAGGCTTCTCTGCTAACATTCAGAGTGTGGCTTTTACTACGGAACATCCCGCCATTCTCCTGCCAGGGATCCTTTTGTTTGGCGGTGTGGAGATGGAAGGGTGGTGGGATGTGGTGGGAAGTTACCTTTGACTGAATTTGATATAACACAAAATGTAATGTTCTTGGGTATTTTGTTGTCCCTGTTAAATTTACCTTCACTGGAATCCAACTTTATTCTGCCTGTTAGGGTGTAATCTACACCTGTTTTAGTCAATAAATCCTCATTGTTGTCAGTGAGAATTGAGTGGGCAGCACGATGCAAATTCTGTACCAAGAAGGTGGAAACTGTATCGCCACGTTGTTACATAGTTCCCTAGAAAGTACACGGTTCACACTTCAACCAGCTCTTCAGCAGGAAACGATACTTCAATTTAGGAGAATTTACCAAAATGAGGAGAAGCGGTTTCCATTTTCTCGCCCATCTCCAGTCTTATTAAAAGGCAGATTCTTAAGTTACTGTGACTCGTTTATCTGGGATCCGAGGAAGTGGGTGCTGTCTTGCTGGGCCTGCCCGTGGAGTCTGCACAGCCCACGTAACCACGGACCTGCTCTCTGCTGACTCGCAGTGGAACCGAGTTTAAGAGCAGCTGCTTGCACCATCTCTCAGCAAGGTGTAAGAAGCTGTGGTTTAAAACAGTCTGTCCCGTTCCGAAGCCTACCTCTGAGGTTAAGGAGGCTTCTGAAGCAGGGAGTTGCAGCCCTGGCCTACGTGGTTCTCTTGGTGTGTGCGCTGAACAGAAGGTGATTTCTTACATACAAGGGTCGTCATGGGAGCAGGCTGGTGACGGCAGTTAAGTCAGCCTTGGTGAAACAGGTGACGTTGTAATTGCAGAAGTGCCACAGCCCTGATTCCTCAGTAATCACTAAAAGTTCTCAAATATGGGAGTTAAGAAAGGGCAGGCTCCTGCTCCAGCTAGACACTGTGGTCAGCTTTTCCTCCCAGGGGCTGTTCCACTGATGCTGATGCTTTGAGCAGAGAGAACACGGGAGCCTCGACTCTAACAAATAGCCAAGTTTCGCCAAATATGGCTTTCCAGATTTTTTTCTTGGACTTCCCAGTAAAACAGTCTTGTAGCCTACAATATTTTTGATATCTGGTGACCTGAATATTTTTTCTTTCCAGAAGCTTTTTCCAATGCAGGTCTAACCTGCATTGCTGGTTAGACGGAGTGATAGCACCCACAGCGCTGCACTCCCTACGTGCGCAGGTCTCTCTGGGTCCTCTGGGTGCTGGGAGGCTGTGCTGCTTTTGCTGATGAGCAAGACTGGCTGTTCTCCCTAGCACCCTCCTAACCACATTCCTGCCTTTTAAGTGACAAAGTAAATTAAAAAGCCAGGGTGGATGAAAACCTCAAAACAAAACCAAAGGAAAGGCAGTAACACCTAGGGTGTGAGAGGAGAGTTTCTCAGAATCCATGGGAACAAACCTAAAAAAAAAAAAAAAGGAGAGAGAAAAAGAGAAAAGAAAGAAAAAACAAAAAGACAGAATCCCTGGAGAAGCAAGAAGCACATTGCTGGGGGCTGGGGATGTGGCTCAAGTGGTAGCGCGCTCGCCTGGCATGCGTGCGGCCCGGGTTCGATCCTCAGCACCACATACAAACAAAGATGTTGTGTCTGCCGAAAACTAAAATAAATAAATAAATATTAAAAAAAAAATTCTCTCTCTCTCTCTTAAAAAAAAAAAAAAAACACATTGCTGGAGGCTCTTATGAAGACAGTGAGAGGAGGAGGCATGTTTGGGCCAGTGGCTTCAAGCGGGGCTTCCAAGGGATGGTTTGCTTGGGTCTCTGTGAAGACTCACGTGGACCTGTCCTCAAAGGCCACAGCGCAGAGGGAGGCAGCACACCTTTGTGGACCACTAGACGGTGGGAATCAGCAGAGACCAGCCAGTCCATGTCCCTAAGGAGTGGACGTGGACTCAAGTCCACACCCCAAACAGGAAGGAACAATGCTTTATTTATGAAGATAAGCCCTGAAAAACAGAGAGCTCCAGTCACTAGCTCCTGTAACTTTATACCTGTTTCTCAGCTTAGGTTGATGTTTAGTCACATGTGTAATAGCTTTACCTAAATAGAAAAGTTCAAACTACATCTCACTCTTAAAATTCAGAATGTAATGAGATATGAGGAGAAATCATTCTTTGGTGTGATTCTGTGGTCTGGTTTTAAAGTTCACACAGTTCTGTGAGCTGATCTTGAATGTGTGGAAGCTCACTCGATAGATACTGCCTAGTTTGGTACCAAGAAGCGTGAACATCGACACTAGGTCCCCACAGGACAGATGCACCTGTTAGATATAGTGTGTTTTTGCTGATTCTCCACCTACACTTCAATTCCTCTTTATAAGGTCCTTTTCTTTTCTTCTGTACTGGTGATGGAACCCAGGGAGGCTCTGCCATCGAGCTACACCCCAGTCCTTTTTATTTTGACAAGGTCTCCCTAAGTTGCTGAGGCTGGCCTTGAACTTGCGATCCTCCTGCCTTAGCCTCTGGAGTTGCCAGGATTACAGGTGTGGGCCGCTGTGCTTCTTACGATCCTCAGGTTATTTGCTTTTAAGAGCAAAGAACCAAGTGGATAAAAAGATCAAACTCCATAAATGAGATTTAAATATGGAAATCATAGCAGCTATTTGTCCTTAAGCCCTCCAGGAAAGAATAACTACACTGTAGGGTCCCCTCCCAGAGCTGTACTGGTGGCCCCTCCCTGCCCCTGCACTTGCTGAGGAGAAAAGGACCACTCTGTCGTCCATTCTCTTGATTTGAGCAAAGGAGATGTGGATCGCGCTTGATACAGAACTGGCTCATTCGCCGGCAAGGTCATCGCCAGAAGGGTGGGCTTTTGTGAAGAAGGCTATGAACATGGAGTCTGAGACGCAGGCAGCCCTTACCTTTTGGGTCCTCCAGGAAAGTCCAGAAATGGATGGTGGATGGACGGTAGGTGGAAAGAAGACTAGATACCCTGGCCTACAAATACACACACATCTAGGTAAAGGAAATCCCGGCCAAGGAAGCCAGCCAGGCTCTGAAGCCTCAGGCTGGAGACTCGAGAGAAATGGTGCTTGGAAAGTTCTTCAGTTCCTTACAGAAAACACAACATTTCTACACTCCTTGTTATCACAAGATTCCCACTAAGGGGAAAAATCTGTCCTGTAAATTGCAGTAGAAATAGAAAACATTCTACCCCACAACAACAAGATATTTGCAAACAGTCTATTAGGCATTTTCTGGAAAGCAAAAATGCTCCCAGTCTACAGTGAAAGGGCACCAGCACCTTATCGTCCGTGTTGTCATCGTAGAGCAGGGACTTCCAGGACCCGGGCAGACAAGCTGTATCCCCAAACACAAGAGCACAAAGCCAGAGCCCAAACAATGGACAGGCAATTAAATAGGCCCCGGGTGGGGAGGCCTGTGTCCAGGCTTGGTCCACCCTTGCTGCACCTCAGGGGCCCACGCAGCCTGCCCCGGGAGCTGTCGGGGTCCTGGGGCTCGTCTCGGATGTTGACTCACGGCTACCAGAGGAAGGTGGGCTTGGCAGCCGAGCCCTGGGTGCCAGTGTCAGGCGGTGGGGCAGGCCTGGGGCGCAGGAAGACCCAGGAGTGACAAGTAACAGGGTGACACCAGGTTCAGCCTGCACAGCCAGCAAGGCTGGCACCTGGACTGGCAGCTGGCTCCCGACACCTGACCCCTAGGGAAAGGGTTTGCCTGCATGCGTTTTGAACAAGTGGGAATTCCTCCACAGCAGGCTGTCTGAAAGGGCCAGCAAAGGAAGACCGTAGCCCCCAGGTGACGCCACCAGAGCAGAAAGGGAGGTCTTGACGAGGTGATCTCCATCGTCTGTAGAAACCATCCTGGTGGCCCAGCCGCCCCTCATCACAGGGCCCCAAAGCACCTCGGAGCCCCCTGGCTTGGAGAGGAGAGCAGAGCACCAAAGAATGGATGATTCAATCTGTTCTGAAATGGACCCTATTTAAAGCAACATGGTGGAAAGACGGCAAATTCTCATACAAATGCTGGTCCTCAAGGGTTGAGTTTCTAGACCTTCAGGTGGACACAGCCTCACACTGCCTCTAAATGCGACCGAAGCCCTGATGACGTAGTAAGGCCTCAGTGCCCGGGCGGCAGGTGTGGGGGAATCCTTGTGTCTTTTACGACAGGGGCTGCTCCTGGTGGTGCCAGCCCTGGGCCGACTTTGAGAGCCAAAGGCCCCTGGAAAGCCCCTTGACCCCGGCCCAGGCTGCAGAGCCTAG